AGGGAGCGAACCAGCAGATGGAAGACTTGACACTCTCTCTGCCTCTGTCTGTCCCGCTCTGTAATTTCACCTTCCATGTAAACAAATGCTTTTTTTAAAAAAAATAGAAAACTGACAAGAGATGGAAACAAAACTTCAAAGTAACATCAGGAAGCCAACAATCATCTCTAAAGCGGCAAGAAAGGTGTTACAAGTACAAAGGACCACTGAAGGAGGGACCTGCAGACAAAACACACCACAGCCCTAAGCAACACAAACCCCCAAGGGAACTGGCTCTTTCAGAACTCCTGCTGATGGTCCTTGTGTTGACCAAAGCCAATCAGAAAACAATAAGCTCCGGGGGCAGAAATGATAGAAACCAACTCCCAGACCACAGAGCAGGGTGCCAAAAATGTGGAGGGGTAGGTGGAGAACGGGTGAGAAGGTATGCTGAGCAACTGTCACACAGCAATGGACGGGCACACGCAGAAGTGGTTCAGCCAGTTCCACCTAAATCACTAGACACCATGGGAAAGTCTGCAAATACGTCTTAAAAAAAAAAAAAAAAGAAGAAGAAGAAGAAAGTTTCCTCATGTCTCCCACGCGGGTACAGGGTTCCAAGACTTTGGGCCATCTTCGACTGCTTTCCCAGGCTACAGGCAGGGAGCTGGAAGGGAAGTGGAGCAGCCTGGATACAAGCCGGTGCTCATATGGAATCCCAGCGCATGCAAGGCAAGGACTTTAGCCACTAAGCTACCACACCAGGCCCTTCAAATAAGTCTTAAGCATAAAAACTAACTTAGGTTACAACTGCCCTATACCACCTGGAAATAGGGGGAAATGTTAAAAACTTTATTTCAGGTAAATAATGGCATTTCTAAACAAAGGGACAGAATTTTAAGGGACAGAATTTCCATGGTCACTTTTTTTTAATTTACTACTAATTTGAAATGAGTCACAGACAGAGGAGAGAGAAAAAGACATGCCATCCACAAACTCACTCCTCAAATGGCCACAAGGACTCAGCCAAAGCCAGGAGCCAGAGCTGCTTGCAGAAAGGATGCAAAAGCTTGACCCATCTTCCTTTGCTTTCCTGGGGACATCAGAAGAGGAGTCAGCTGGACGTCAAACTGATATCCATACCAGTAGAATGGAGCTAAGCTGATCTGAACAGCCAGAGTTAAGCTGATCTGAAGCCAGGAGCTTCTTCCAGGTTTCTGACCCAAGGACTCGGGTCTTTGTCCACTGCTTTCCCAGACTATGAGCAGAAAATGGACTCAGAAGCGAGCAGTCAGGACATGAAATCCTGGCCTATACAGGATGCTGGCAACAGCAAGTGAAGGATTAGCGTGCCACCCCACTGCACCAGCCCCAAGCCCTTTATCTCTAAGGGAGCAGCTCTAAGACAAGGTCCTTCTCTGTGCTCAAAGGCATTACATAACTGCACTGGTGCACGTATCACAGTGTATTATAGCTGCTTGTTTATTTCTCCCTCATTAGACTGATTCCTTCAGGGCAGAGACTCTTATTCCGTGTATCCTTGGCTCTTAACATGGTACAAAGTTGGCCTTCAGTCAATGTGCACTGTGTCAATTAATGGACTTAGGGCCCATTTATTATCAGCACAACGCCACGGTGCCTACAATCTACAATGACCCTTAGCAATTGGAACACTAGCAAATTGTGTTTAGAGCATGGTTTAATACGTTGGGCTGGAACAGCCACCTTCATTCCAGCCCAGCTCAGTTCTGTAGAGTAACCTTCATATGGATTCTACAGAAAATGACTATGGGCAATCTTCTACCTGCTTTCATGCACGCGGCCTTGTCCACTGTCACAGAACCAGCCACTCTCCCCAAAACACAGGCAGATGGCAAGATGATGCTTCATTTCAGACAACAGTCAGATCCACATTCTCTCTCCAGACTCTCTCCAAGGATCTGCTAGGTCCACTGAAGGAACTAATAATTTGGGCATGTAGGTAAAGTTTATGTTTTACACAGGTGATAAAGATGATACACAGAGAACATATTTAATGTTTATTTTAACAGACATAACCCTTGGTAAAATTATAAAGTTCTTGAGTAACAAAGCCAGGTAACATCACCATATTAAAAGGGATATGATGTTAGTATGTCATTAACAGAATCTAGAACATATTCACATTATAATTATGAATCACTTTCACATAACCCTGTACTTAAGAAGTGTTTAGTCATCTTTTCATTGATATAGTCAACTCTTACCTGTAGATTCTCCACACAAAAAGGACAAAGTTAATAACAAGTTCAGGGGGTACAGTGCAGTAGCCTAGTAGCTAAAGTCCTCGCCTTGAAAGTGCCAGGATCCCATAAGGGTGCCAGTTCTAATCCCAGCAGCCCCGCTTCCCATCCAGCTCCCTGCTTGTGGCCTGGGAAAGCAGTCGAGGACGGCCCAGAGCCTTGGGACCCTGCACCTGTGGAAGAAGATCCAGGCTCCTGGCTTTGGATCGGCGCAGCACCAGCCATTACAGTCACCTGGGGAGTGAAACACTGGACGGAAGATCTTTCTCCCTGTCGCTCCTCCTCTCTGTATATCTGACTTTACAACAAAAATAAATCAATCTTAAAAAGAAAAAAGAAATCTTTAAAAAAACATATATCAAGTTCATAACCCTGATTGGAGGCTGCCCATCTTGTGTTGTCAGCAAGGTGAGTAAACCCCAATGCAGTGTGAGCTGTGCCTCCACTAGAGGGGAGCTGCCTATCAACAGCCATGTCTTCCAGAAACGCCATGACAAAGTCTCAGGTCTCCTGGACAAGTGGTTCTAGTCACTGCAGACTGGAATGGATGCTGACGTGGCTCAATTCAGTGTCCTCTTATAAATCTAACCCCAATCAAACAAGGAAAAGAGTGTTACTTTCTACATAGGAAAAGGGAATTCTGAGTTAATCTTTACAATATGAATTACTTTGAGATTCCAGTAATACAAAAATAGAGAATGTTTCAAGTAAGTGTTCTATTATGATTTAAAGCAGAAGTCCCCAAAGCAAGATCTTTGCAGAAACACTTAAGATGGTAAACACAGCCCTTCCCCCAATCCCTTTTGCCATCAATTTCCTAAAACTGTCAGGCCAATACAGCAAAATTACTCTTACCTCTAAGGACAACTAAGTATAACATCTGTATAATAATGACAACACAGGTTACACAAACCTATGATTTATAAACTTGTACTGTACACAGGTTCTGTACTACACACGAACTTGAAAACAAAACTAAAAAACGGTTTGCCACAGAAGTTTGTGTCTCACACTATTAGCTTCAGCTACCTCGGGCTAGTTTCGGTTCTCCTAACTAGTGTTTGACCCATAGGAAAGATGACACTGTTCTCCAACTCCAACAAAGTCGGAAAAGAGGGAGTTAATGTATGATTCAGATAATACAGAATATGCAGCAATAATATCAATGTATTAAAATTATCAATATTACTTCTGATTTAACATTCTCCTTCACTAAAATAAAAATGAAACCTCACCCCCCCAAAAAAAATTAAAATGAGTACAAAACATTTTTTCTAATTGATATCTTTACCGCAGGTAAACTTTGCATGGCAAATGAACAGGGTTGAGTGTAGTTTAATACAATCAATAATAGGCCCTGACACCTGAAAAGGATTATTTGTGTTTTCCGAACACAGTGTTCCAAATCATATTCCCCATTTCCTAATCTTCTTCCTTAAACTTCACTGTGGAGCTCGCTATAAAGGAAGTGTCTGGGTAAGCAATAAAGACCCTGCATAACAAGCGCATCTTTCCCCAAGAAAAACAGGTGATGGGGAGATCTGTAAGAATTCAAGCAGACTGCAAGCACCTAGATTGTTAACAGCAGTGGAATAACCACAGGGGGTGGAGGAGCCAGCGCATAGACTGGCATCCAGGATGCCAAGCTGCGGATCTCCGACCCTGGGCAGCTGCCAAGACGACCACGACTTCCATTCCTTAACCACCAGTCGGGCTCCGCAGAGTTGCAGCAGGTCATCTGGCCGCTGTTTTCCCTAACACATAAATAGTTCACAACCTAACTGCCTTACTCAGTACTTCTAAAAAAAAAAAAAAAGGCGAAAGTAAGCCACTCCTCTGACGCCTAGTCCTTCACCAGCCCATCCCAATTCTCTCCTAGCCAAAGAATAGACGCACCTGGCCACCAGAAACGCCACAATTGAACTCCTCTCCTAAGACAGACAACGCCAAACGCACTGCGGCTACAGTCTAGTGCTCCTGGCGGGGCTGTCCCAGGGGACCGAAGGTGACACCAGGGCAAAGTCTGGGCTCCTAAGGGAAAGAGCCCGTCTGGGGGAGCCCCTCCGAATCCCGGACAGCACGCGGCCTCAGCCCTATAGACAAAAACTTGGCCTCCGCACCCCAACCCCCGCCTCACTAGCAACCTGGTAATTTACAACCTGGCAACACCTTCTAATTAGCAACGTTCTCGCCTTTTATAGCCGAAAAATTAAACTGAGGCTTCTCACAAGTTACGATCAACCCAGGCAACCGGCGCCTGCTCACCGAGAAGCCCCGGTGCCTCCAATCTCCAGTTTGGCTACTGAACCTGGGGGGGGGGGGGGGCAGTGTCCCGGGTTTCTCTCTCCCGGAGATAAGGGAGGAAAAGAGCCCACCCGGCTCGGCTAGGTGGAGGGGGTACGGGAAAGAGAGGACAGGAGCAAGGCACCGAGCGGCACAAGGCGTGAACAGCCACCAAGCAGAGCTGGGCTCAGCGCACCGGCGGGGGGCGACAGGCAAGACAGCGGGTGGCGCGCGCGTGGAGGTGCCAGGGCGCAAGCTGTGAGAAGCGGGGGAGCACCCGGGCTGCGGAAGCCGGCCCCGGGATGCGCGCGTCGGGCACCCACCCACCCACCAAGCTTGGCCCCGCGCGGCTCGGCGCGAGCACCCTCCTCCCGGCTCGCACGGCCCGCACCGCTGCGCACCCACCCCAGCCCGGCCCGCGCGCACACGCCCCTCGGGCCGCCGGAGCCTACGTACCCAGCACCACGCAGAGCACATCGAGGGCCACGTACGGCAGCCGCGTCTTGTCAAACATGGTTTCAGGAGGCGGCTCCCCGGCGCGGACTGAGTTGCGGACCGGCGGCTTGAGGAAGCCCGACTCTCTCTAGACCGAATCAGGGGCTGACGACGTCGGGGCCTCGAGCGCGGCTCCTTCCAGCCCGGAGGACAGCAACCGGGAGACCGTCAGCAATGGCGTCCGGGCCCCCTCCCCTCAACAGCTCCCGCAAACCGGGCCGGCGACGCCCGCGCGCCAGCCGCCGCAGCAGCTCTGTCACCGCAGGGCCCCTTGGCTCGGTCGGCCGAACGCGGCCCGACCCGGCTGCTTGCCGTCTGGATCCCAGCAGGCGGGGCGTCCGGACTCGTGCTTTAAAGATGCGGACCGGTAAAGGGAGGAGGCACGCGGGCCCGGGCCCCTCCCGCCGGGCAGCGCGGGATCGGCCAGCGCGCGGCCTCTCGGGCAGGAGGGGAGGCGGCGGGGGCGGGGCGCGGCGCCCTGGCCGGGCCGGGCAGCCAATCCGCGCCGCCGGCCCCGCCCCCGGCCGACCTGCCGAGTCGGACCGGAGGGGAGCGCCGCCCGGAGGCCGGAGGGACGTCGGGGGGCGTCTCCTGGTGCGGGGCGCAGGACCCCGGCTCGGCGCTCTCCTGGGGAGGAGTGGGGTGGAGTGGGGTGGGTGGGGTGGAGTGGGGTGGGTGGGGTGGGTGGGGTGGGTGGGGTGGAGTGGGGTGGGTGGGGCGGGTGGGGTGGGAGGGTGGGGGATGGGGAGGTCTCTGAGCTCCGCCCATTTCGGGCCCGGCTGCTGAGCGGGGTGGCTCGCTAAGGTAGAGCTAGGCCGCCTGCTTCCCACCGATCTCACAGGGGGCGCGGGTAATAATGAAGTTGAAGGTAAGGGTCGCTGCAGCTGGGCCCCTGTGAGCCCCCTTTCTTCATTAGGCCCTAACCTTCCTGTTTCAATCCTTTCGTTGCTTTTAGTAATTCTCCATCGCCCTCACGTGTTCCCTGGCTTTCACCCTGCAGCTGTTTTTGCTGTATTCCGGATTGAGCCGAATCTCACCTGTTGGGATAATCATCATGTCCTCTATTGCCACGGACTTTGAATAAACGTCTTCGTTACATTTTAACAAGGGTCAGGTTGATTTAACAGCCGCCGTCGCTCCCACTATCCCATCCCTGAAAGAACAACACTAGGGTACGCTTAATCTCAGTTTCCTAATGCATAAAATGAGGGTGTTGAGGACCCCTACTTGTGTGCCAGTTAAGGCAAAGCGTCGAAGCCCAGAAAAGACACTTTGAGAGCTGCTGCATGCAGTCAACCAGGTAAACAACCAGGGAAGCAGTTACTGCCTCTCGGGCTTTTTCCTACACAATACCCACAAAACCAGTGCATAGATGTGTTAGGACATAACCCCCAACTGGTCTCCCCCAAAAAAAGCAAAAGACAGATTTAAAGAAGCAGTGAATTTCATCATTTGAACGGCTTCTACAGGCCGTTACACCTGAGAAAGGTGCACCATTTTGGGGCCACCTCTTACTCCCAGCAAACAGACAAGACACAATATTTGTGAGACCCATGTATTGTCTGTTCATTCAGAAAGCATTTCTCGAGCCCACAGTACTTCATGTACTGCCTTAATTCTGGACTGCTTTTCTCCTAACTGTGCTTGTTTATCCTTTGAGCCACATAAACTATCGCTCTCTCTAACTGACCAAGCCTCTGGCAGCCACCATTCTATTCTGTCCTATGAGATCAGCGCTTCTAGATTCCACGCGTGAGTGAGGTCACGCAGTCTTTGTCTTCAGTTACTACAATGTTCTGCAGTTCCACTCATGCCCCACATGGTGTTTTATATCTGAGTAGTATCCCTTTAAGGGATTATCAAATTTTCCTCATCCATTCATCCACTGATCCCCCCGCACCCCCACTTAATTCCATGTATTGATTCCTGTGAATAGTGCAATAAACATGGGAATGCAAACCTCTCTCCACAGACTGACTCCGTTTCCATTGGATCTACACCCAGTAGGGGGACCAGTGGATCACGTGGTAGTTCTATTTTGAAGATTTTGAGGAAGCTCCATACTTTTTTTCCATAAGAGCTACACTAATTTACATTGCCACCACAGCAAAGTTCCCTTTTCTGCACAGCCTCCTGGACTGACACTGAGCTTTTGGTCTTTTGGAGACTAGCTATTGTAGCAGGTGTAAAGCCATGGCTCATTGTGATTCTGATTTGCATTTCCTGATGTTGAGTGATCCCTAAGAGAGCCCAGTCCAGTGCCCAGCTTCTGAGAGGCCAAAAGGAGCAAGGAAAAGCCCCTGACCTCGGTAGCCCCATTGCAAAACTGGCCTGTAACTAGGATACAGTATACTGATCAAAACGCATTGTGCAGGGGCCATCCAGCCCACAGGCTATATAATGTCCTTGAAATCATTTGGTCTGGCCCTGCCGTGGCAGCCACCAGAGACTCGAAGCCCAAGAAATCTATATCAAGCTACTATAGGTTGAGGCTGAGAATTTTCTTTTTATTTATTTAGTTTTATTGGAAAGGCAGATCAGATTTACAAAGAGAAGGAGGAGCAGCAAGAAAGATCCCCCATTGGCTGGTTCACTCCCCAAATGACCCCAACGGTTGGAGCTGAGCCCAATCCGAAGCCAGGAACTTCTTCTGGGTCTCAGAATGGTGCAGGGTCCCAAGGCTTTGGGCCATCCTCTACTGTTCTCCCAGACCACAACCAGGAAACTGGATAGGAAATGAAGCAGCAGGGACACAAACCAGCATCCATATGGGATTCCAGAACTTGCAAGGTGAGGATTTAGACATTGAGCCATTGCACCGGACCCTGAAGTTGAGAAATTTCTACGACTCACAACTGATTTTGTAAATATCCAAATGATCCTTGGCAGAAGAAAGTTCCCCACAGCTGGGCCCGGCGCGGTGGCGCAAGTGGTTAAAGGTCCTCGCCTTTCACTCCCGGGATCCCATATGGGCGCCGGTTCTAATCCCGGCAGCCCCGCTTCCCTTCCAGCTCCCTGCCTGTGGCCTGGGAAAGCAGTCGAGGACGGCCCAAAGCTTTGGGACCCTGCACCCGCATGGGAGACCCGCAAGAGGCTCCTGGCTTCGGATCGGCATAGTATCGGCCCGTTGCGCTCACTTGGGGAGTGAATCATCGGACGGAAGATCTTCCTCTCTGTCTCTCCTCTCTGTATATCCGCCTTTCCAATGAAAAAATAATAAAAATAAATCTTTAAAAAAAAAAAAGAAAGTTCCCCACAGCTGGACAACAAACACACAACAAACAGTGGGAGTTTGACCTTGGTCTTGGGAAAGATCCCATGGGGAGGTGACAACTTGCTTTGTTCTTTCCCTCCCCCACACAACCACACAACGCTTCCTTAAATGACAAGTAAATAAATGGTTGATTTTTAACAGGTGTTTCGCCTTTTAGAGGAGGTGCAGATAACAGCTTTAAAGATAGATTAATAACGGCCTCAATAGCCTCGTGACTAAAGTACTCACCTTGCATGTGCCGGCATCCCATTGGGGCTTCAGTTCATGTCCTAGCTGTTCCACTTCCCTTCAGGCTCTCTGCTTGTGGCCTGGGAAAGCAGTCAAGGACTGCCCAAATCCTTGGGACCCTGCATCCACGTGGGAGACCCAGAAGAAGCTTCAGATTGGCTCAGCTCCAGCCGTTGCGGCCGCTTGGAGAGTGAACCATAGGACGGAAGATCTTTCTGTCTCTCCTCCTCTCTGTATATCTGACTTTGCAATAAAAATAAAATAAATCTTTTAAAAAAAAGATGACCCTATTATAGATTTATTGAATTCCGAGTCCCACATGCAGTTGTCTTGGCAAGAACAGGTCAAATACCTTCACCAGATGTTTTGCACCCATGGTTAAGTAGTTGGATCCCTGCCACCCATGTGGAAGACCCTGATTGAGTTCCTGGTTTCCAACTTCGCCTGACCAAGCCCAAGGTCACAGGTATGGGGAGAAATTAATCAATGAATGGAAGTTTCTCTTTCTTTTTCAAATAAATAAACACAATTAATTAAAAAAAAAAAAAAAACCTAATGCTCAGAGTATGACAATTGGAGCAGGAAGAATAATCCTTAAAGATTGAGCAGTGGGCCTGGAGGTGAGGCCTAGCAGCTAAAGTTCTCGCCTTGAACGCCTCGGGATCCCATATGGGTGCCGGTTCTAATCCCGGTGGCCCCATTTCCCATCCAGCTCCCTGCTTGTGGCCTGGGAAATCAGTTGAGGACAGCCCAAAGCTTTGGGACCCTGTACCCGTGTGGGAGACCCGGAAGAAGTTCCTGGGTCCTGGCTTCGGATCGGCACAGCATCGACCGTTGCGCTCATTTGGGGAGTGAATCATCGGATGGAAGATCTTCCTCTCTATCTCTCCTCCTCTCTGTATATCTGACTTTCCAATAAAATAAATAAATCTTTAAAAAAAAAAAAAAAAGATTGAGCAGTAACTTGAGTAAAGAGGCAGCCAAATCAATGGCATTTTCTGACCTCCGTGAGGAAGGAAGTCTGTAAAAGCAGGAACTGTCATTGGAAGTTAATGGAAGATTTTTGATTATAACAGTTTAGTTAAAAAGTGTGTCTGAAGGCAAAGAAAAATTGCTGAAAACAGGTAGTGATGTGTGAAAAACTGTCTGAGAGGTGTCATAGCCTCTTCAACCAGTGGGAGAAAAGAGGTCTTTATCTTGGGAATCAGGTTATCCAGAGGTCAATTTCTGTGTTTATTTCCGTTCTGATCTTATCTTTCCTACAGTCTTGTTTATGGCTTCCACCCCTCTCTCAGCTAACACTTCTGCCCAGCTACAATGAGAGGAATTTAACTATGAGCGAGAAGCCTGAATGTCTTGGGATCAGATTTGAGCCTCAGTTTCACCAACACACACCCTCCTTCCACCGAGTCACTTCGGTGGCAAGCTCAGGGGGCCAGAGCTTTAGGTGGTTGCTGTTGTTTAGGAAAACACAACTCTTCATAGATTTTCTGTCATAAATCAAATAGAAAACTGTAGGTGTACTTCCCTAGCAAATGTGTGATGCATGCAGACATGTGATACATATGTTTTGGAAAACGGCTCTGTGAATGCATCCCCATTATTTCTGCTTCCCTACCACCCACTCAACCCAAGACTCATGTGGTTCCCTAATCTAATGGAGGAATGGGGTTGTTAGTAAACCCATACCTGGGCCTGCTGATCACCACATCCTGTCTCTAGGACACTTACAAATCCTTTTCGTTGTTGTTGTTGTTGTTGTTGTTTTTAAAGATTTATCTATTATTATTTGAAAGGCAGATTTACAAAGAGAGAGAATGAGATCTTCCACCTGCTGGTGCACTCCCGAAATGGCCACAGTGACCAGAACTGAGCCAGTCCAAAGCTGGCAGTCAGGAACTTTTTTCATGCCTCCCAT